TGTTTCAACCTGAAGCCTTATAGAGCTTGCAGAGAACAGAACAATTTGCTAATGTAATTGGAAAGATAATCTATTCAAAATTGTGTGGCATTGATCTTTTGCTCTTTATTCCCTGTTATAAAGACCAGAGGACCTTATTTGCTACCAGTAGAGAATATAATGGCTTTCAAGCTACAAGTACAAGAATCTTTCAAAAAGCTGTTTTTCAACAATCAACAATGTCAACCCTAAATTTCATAGGCTACCATAATTCTGAAAAGACAACTGCCAAATGTTGTAATGCATTTAGAAATATTCACAACATGAACAGTATTAAAGCCATTAAAAAAGATAAATTATATAGACAGTAGAGGGAGGTAATATGCTGAAGTAACAAAGCATGGTCTTTGAGGTAGACAGACTTGGGTTACCCCAGCCTATGACCTTGCCCAAGTTATTTCATCTCACAGAATCATTTTCTCACCTGTAAAATCTGGATTAACAACTCCTTCTTTTCGATGTTGTAATAAGAACTAAATAATACATTATATGTAAAATTATTGGCAGAGCTCTCATTCATAAAACACAGTCAATAAAATGAAAGCTGGAAGTATTATTAAACAATAGATTTTTTTTTGAGACAGTCTTGCTTTGTCATCCAGGCATGTGCAGTGGTACGGTCTCAGCTCACTACAACCTCCATCTCCTGGATTCAAGCAATTCTCATGCCTCACCCTCCCAAGAAGCTGGGATTACAGGCATGCACAACCAAGCCTGGCTAATTTTTGAAATTTTAGTAGAGACAGGGTTGCGTCATTTTGGCCAGGCTGGTATCAAACTCCTGGCCTCAAGCGATTTGCCTGCCTCGGCCTCCCAAATTGCGGGGATTCTAAGTAGGCCTGAGCTACGGTGCCTGGCCAAAAATAGAAAAATAATGATATGTTAAATGAAAAGCAGAGTACAGAAATAGTATTTACAGCTATTTAAGATATGTAAGGTAAGTTGAAAATGAGAATAACAGGATGGAACAATGGCATTAATCATTTATTTTCCTTCCAACATATTAATCAATGTTATTCCATCTTTTTTATTCTCAATTATAAAACTGGACATTTTAGCTTATACAAATGCTTTCCACTGTGATCATGAGGCCAAAATAAGAATGCTAAGCCAGCCTAGATTTTTACAACCTTAAGAGAAAAGAGGTAATAAAAAAATTATAATCCTCCATTGGTCAGAGCCACAACTTTAATTGTATCCACCCAGTACTGAATGCTTATTTGCATATTTTATACCCTGAGCAAATTGTTGTTTAATGGATATATAGATATCTGCATATATAAAGATGAGCTTGCTAATACATATAGTAGTTATATTTTTAATATTTTAAACTTTCATATATAACACTTTATTGATGAAAACAACATACAATATGCAAATACAGTGAAGAAAAGAGACACCGTCCTCCCTACTTTCACTCCTACCATTTTTTTTCTACCCTTAAAAGGTATCCACTACTAAAAGCTTGGTACAGAGTCATCCAGAATTTTTTCTACATCTATAAACCTAAGTATTACATGTATACTTATTAAATAATAATACTTATAATGAAAAGTATAAGTATTATTATATATGCAATAACCAATTTTAAAATTTGCTTTAAAAACAACGACAGTCGTATTTTGAAGAGTAGCATCTCTTTTTTTCCAGCTTACATAATGAATGATCTTACATGTAACACACAAATCCTAAAGCTTTGTTCTGACAGCAGGAAAGAACAGAGTCCACTTTCATGACCAAATTTTTCTTTATATTTATATTTGGAAGACTAATAATGTTTTACTTAAACTAAATCACAAGTCTTAATTACGTTAATGAGAAGTATCCCTGGGAAATGTTTATAAACAGTGAAGTGTTAAAAAGATATCAAGGAATATGTAAGTTAATATTATCATAGTATACAACCACTGACTCAATCTGAATTTAAGACATGTAAAACTCAAATATTTATGGAAAGGTCACTACATGATTCTTCTGTTACACAGAATTTGGAGGTGGAATATTGTTGACTGAAACAACTAAAATAGAAGGCAAACAATTCCACGATCAATGAATTTGCTAATTTTATTAACTTTGAGAATAAGAATATATATATATATATATATATATATATATATATATATATAAAGTTTTTTTTCAACTTCATGCATGCACACTTTTTTAAAGAATGCTTATGAATAAATACTATAATCACTTTCTGCTAGAACTGGGCATACAAATAACTGCTCATTAAATAAAAGCAACCTAGTATATGGCTTTATTATATAAACTCTAAATTTGTGACACGTTACAAAGAGACAAATAGATTAATTCGTCTATGTTATTAATATGTCTATGTTACAAAGAGACAAATGGATTAATTTTAAGGTTATTTTTATTTTGCCTTGAAATTCATAAAATTTTAATAATAAGGCTGACCTTTAATAAGAGGAACGGTATAAAATACAAGATTGCCAATAAATCCCATTTAAAATGTGAATATCCCATAGCAATTTAATTAAGGCTATAAGAACAAGTTAGTATGGACTGCTTTTTATGATACTTGGAGAGAAACAAATAGAAAAAGGTAAAGAAGTAAACCAAAGCATTGGATTCTTACACAGTACAACAAGCTTCCAAAGGTAGTGTTTGGCTTTGGGGAATCCCAGAGGACAGTAGAAAGATTTGGAGAAAGTAGACCAACAGAACACAAAATAGATTTATGTAATCAGAGTGAAGATGGTAAAGCCAGAAAGATGGTTCCCAGGAACAAAGTATTTTGAGGATCAACCTGAAAACAAATTAACATCTGAAAAAGAGATATATGGCAAAGTAGTAGGTCTCTCTCATGGGAAGTCAATTGAAAAGGAATGAGGGTAGGGTGATGGCTGGGAAATGTGGACAGGAACACTGGTAAGAAAACACTGTCCCCTGAGCAATTTGAGGCCTGTGGCCTTTATGTACAGAGGCACAGGAAGAGAGGCCCTTTCATATTTTTTAATACTCAAGTAAATGTGTGTTTGTGTATGTGTATATGTATACATACACACAAACATGTATTTTCTCTGTATACTAAATCTATAATCTATATTTTTACATATAATTAAATATAATAGGTATGTATAATATTGGACTGATAAAAGGATAATAAAATGGTAAAACTGTAATCACAGCTGATTATACCCTCAGACCACCAAATTATTCAGAAGCTGCAGTGATATACCCAAGCAGTTACATGATTAAGTCAGATGTAAGATTAATAACTGGAGAGATTTCTAAAGTGTGCAGTCAAATCCAAGAATCATTCATATATAGAAATTTCTTACACAAAAATACATTCTGTCCCCAACTCTATGCAGAATATTTAAAGTTAAATGGAACAATATACACATTCACAAATCAATATGTTTAAAAATGCATTTTGAATTGTGGCCCAACTTATGAAAATATCTCAAATAATTTAAAACAATAAAATAGAATAATTATGGATAAAAATAGACTATGAAAATCCAGAGGGGTAAAGAGTGTCAATGTTACTCATCCCCTGAAATGAACAAATTATTTCCAATTGAACCCTGAATTTGAAAATAAGTATCCTGGCAGTTTAGATAAAAAAAGAAATAGTTTGGTTAATCACTATTTGTTAAATATTATATCATCTTTCCACATAGGAAGGTTATAAATTATAAATGAGTAAAATTCACGTATGTTATAAATTCTGATTACTCATGTTGGTGACATATTAGCTATGGTAACTCATAAAAGGATTTTAAGGATTTTCTAGTATTTATTGTTTGAAGAAAAAGAAGAACCCTCCAAATTTATTTGCAGATGCAAACTCTGCTTTCAGTAAACTCAAGGAATAATTCATTGCACGTGTTATAAGAAATGGCAAGTAACGTAAGAGAGAAAATCTTCATCTATAATTTATTAAAACTCACAGAAATACTGCAGATGGGGCAATTCTTGCTTCTCGTCGACTATAAAACACTACAATAACAGCAAAAGCTAACCCAGCCACAAAAACATAGGCTAATTTCCTGATGTAAATAATCTGAGTATTTACATGTGTGTTTGCCTGCTCACATGATAATGCATATTTTGCTTGCCTGTTTTCTTCCTATCTCAACCATCTCGCTTCAATCATTGCTCTTATTTCTCCAATCTGAAGTATGATTATTTCCATTTCAAAGAGGTGAGCTTAGTTATTTATAATCAATCACTAAGAAAAACAAAATAAGACTAACCCTTAAAATAGCCATAAAAGTATTCTGTAAATACCTATTCCAGAAACAAAACTTACTTTGTTGCAAAAATACTCCTTAAGGGTCATGCTATATGTATGAGCATATCAAATCAGCACTGGGGAAATAATGGAATAAACATTAGAATAAATGGAAACTGACATATTTTTCATCAGGGTAAAACCATTAAAATTAACAAAACTATAATTACTAAGGAGCATTTCTAATAAAATAAAACATAAGAGATGACTGATAAGCAACTTGATAAACATTTAGTCATATAATTAAATTCAAGTTTGTTTAAATATAAATAACATTATTAATTTCTAACACATCTGTGCTAAAAATGAGGGTATAGCTTCTAAAGGCAAGGGCAAAGCCGGTCAACCACCAGCCCACTTGCAGCAAGCAAAGAAGATAAGAAAACAAGCAACTGATTCAGACACTGAAAAATGACAAGTTTTCATTTTCAAAACTCCCAACATAATTTGCAAGTTTCTTTCCTCCTTTAAAAATTATCATCAGATACATTGTTACAGTCCACGGGGAGTTAAAAAAAAAAAAAAATGTCAGCACCAGTTTAAAGTGCATGAGTTTGGGAACAAAATAAAGAATAAAAGAGTCGCCTGTACTGCCTTCTTTCACAAAGCCTCAACATCACACTAATTACTAAATACTCAAGAAGTATGTCAATCTTAAAAGAGAAAAGGGGAGAAGCATGAGAGAAAAGCACGTTACCAAACTGCCTCTGCAGTCCTTAGGGAACTTGTAGATCGGGATCTTGGCTTCATAATAATGCTCATTTTGAAAAAAAAAATAAAAAGGAAAATAAGTCTTCGCTTATTCTGATTAATACATTTCAACTGTCTGCAAAGAAGATTTTAAATATATTCCATTTCCAAGGGGAGGCTGCTTGAAGAAATCCGATTTTCCTGTCCTCGGTCCAGCTCATGGGCAACGTTCTAACACGCAGGAGCACTTTTTTCCTTCATACTGAATTTACTCCAGGACTAGGCTGTTAGGAAGTGACAGTTTCTGTTCTGTCTTGCAATGCCAAGGGAGGCACTGAATTCTGAATTGATTCTTCGTCTGGGTCACAAGGGAAACCAGCATAGTGAAAGAGTCACTTGATCTCTTTTTTGCAATTCCATAATAACTGATTTAAAGGTTTCTAACACTGAAAGTGCGCAGGTAGAGAGAAAAGAAAAGAAAATGACCGGGAGGCACGGTAACACGGGAGAGCTGTCAAGGAAGTTCCACCTCAGGACAAGCACAGGAAAACACTCTTCTCCATGGAGCACAGAAGTCAGCCAAGGAACAAAGCTCTCTACACTTCGGTTGGGTGGGCTGATTTACCTGCAAAAGTAATTTCTGTGTGTCCCTGCTTAGAATCCAGGGCTTTGTGAATGAGAACTATCATTCAATCTCACCAGGCAGAAACTATTCCTCAAGGGCTGTATGACGTCTGTAAGACGGCAGTTCAAAACACCGCAGGGCAGTGAGAAAGGAAAAAAAAAAAAAAAAAAAAAAAAAAAAAAAGAACAACCCAGCGCCCAGTCTCGTCAATTGCTGAGACTTACAAAGCAAAGGGGCGGATCAGCTCCAGAGACCAGCACTGTAAACCCGCCAAGCAGACAAGAGACCTCACAAAACTTATAAAACCATTTCCTTCTCTAGGAAATGAGGTGTCTGTGTTATTCTGAGTAACATTCCATGAGCACCTTTATAAGGAACACACCCCTTGTCATTATTTACCATTATTTACCTAATAAACAAATGAATTTTATAAAAGTCATTTAAAAAAAAGTACCTCACAAAGCACTAAAACTAAAATTTATCTTTAGAAGAAAAGTTGACAGAACTTGACTTAGCAGCTGTTCATTTTGAGCGGATGTAATGAAATGTCATGCTTTGGAGTTGGTTGTAGAGATGTAAATTACCTCTTAAAAATTCAGCAGAGTATAACAGGCACCCTTGGATCAGGATGTGCTGGAATTTTAAACTGAAAAATCTAATGTATTATTCCCGGACAAGTGGCTGCACGTATTAAGGCTGTTCCCTTGCACAATGTTTTCTAAACTTTATTTTTTTAAAATAATAATATGCAAATTTCATTCATCTCTACACACAAAGACTCTGGGTTTGCTAATCCTTAACAGCTCTTCAGTAAGGAATGAAGCTTTGTATCTTGTCAGTATCTCTTATTATTCTGAAGGCCAAAACCTGTTCCACCTCCTAAATAGAAAACAAAATCTTTTCTGTTACAGTGGATATAATCTGAGCTGATTCCAATTGCTCCTAACAGAAGGAACGGTTGATCACCCTGACTATCTCTCTGAACATCTGCACAGAGCATATATACTTCAATTATTCTGGATGTGAATTACCAAGTGAAAATAATGTAAGCATTCTGATTGCTTAAATGACATTAGTTAGTACGTTGGTTCTCTAGTCTGACGTGAACTTGGTATTTATTTAGCATTTGCAGACAGGATGTTGGAGTGCAGTTGTGACCCACCCAAACAACTTGGAAAATTAATGTAGGAAGGCATCTGCCAGAGGCTGTGGCTGCTTCTTACAACAAACCCTTCATCTGCTCCTCTGGTCACACTTCAAGGTGCATTTGTGACTTAGTCTTCTTTCAGTGATTCTGAGGCCTCTTATGGTAAATGCCAATAAATTGCTTTCCACATAGTTATTCCCTTAAACTTTTCAGTTTTCTTATGACTGCTGGAGGACATTCACACTTTCTTAGCACTGTCCCATGTCTAGTTTATTGCTGGCATTTTAAAGCAGGTTAACTAATCACCCATTTTTTAGAAACTTAAAAGGTTTGTGAGACTAATCATTTTTAGGGGAGAGGGGACTTAGAGAAAGAGGTTTAATTTTTTTCTCGTTGGAATTTTAATGTGGGAAAAGCCAGAACAAAAACAAACCAAGTAAAATTAAGCAACTACTATTTATTCAAAACATTGTTCTCTCCACATAAGGTCTACCAAATAGCTTCTGCCATTTCAGAAAGAAAATGACAATGATCAGAGAATGTAATGTCTGAATGTTGAGTTTTCAACTCTCCAGAAATAATCAGCCTGTGTTCTACTGTCCTCCAGTTCCGTGTCCCAGTGAGATGATTTAGCCTGATGCTACTCTCTTCTCTGTCACACACACACACAAGAGGTTAGCGCAGCTTCATGTGCTCTTCCTTGCTTACTTGGCCAACATTCTGTATCTTCCAAGAATATTTTTCTGAAAACCCAACACATTTATTGGGCATCTACCACATACTGCATAATAGTCCTGTAACGACTAATAAATTGTTCCTCTGCCCCTGCAAAAACAAAGTTAAATGGGGAATCTGATAATGTACGGAACTAACCAGAATACTCAAAGCCTTTGGATTGGTACATCAAGGTTGCCATTACAGAGAAAGAAAGATGCACTATGTTGAAGGGCATTGAGATTTACATTTAAATTTTGCTTCTTCTCCGAATGTTTAGGGTAGTGACAGAATAAATAAAAACAAGTAGTATGTATTCGATATTACAGCGTTTTCTCCACTGTAAGGCAGCTTTCACATGAACATCTCCGAAGGAATCTTTTGTGATCTAAGCATCCTGTAGTTTTCCCTCTGAAAAGCTTCCCAAAATGGAAAAGATAACGGCACTTCCCTCCAAATTCCTGTTAGCACACAAGCATATGATGGCATGCAGGCTGATGAAGAGGCCTGAATATGGGGAGACTTCACTTAGGAACCATGTGGCCCATGCTTTTGATCCAGAAGCTGCGAGTATGCCTCAGTATTTCCCTGTTGTACTGAATTGTATAATGTATGGATTTTTTACTTTCCAGTTGTTACCACATTTCGATAGACTGTACCACAGATATATATGTCCATCGGGTCATCCATCTGTAGAGTTTTTGTTGAATCAAACGATTATGTAGTTAGATGTTACTGAAATTTCAGTCATAACATCACCTCCATAATTTTTTCCATATTAGCATTCCATTTATACCATGAATTCAAATTTTTCTTCATTGACCTACTTTTTTAAAAAAAACTAAATTTAAGAGGTAACTTTATATTTATTCTGTAAATAGGTTTAATATACTGATATAATTTTCCCCCAAAACACAAGTAAATATTAATAGAAAAAAAAGAGCCCAAAATAATGCCTAAAGTCTGTCTCATACCACGCCTGGTGCCCCGATACAACTTGGGCAACACTTAGAACATGTCAGTGGCATACAGGTAGATTGTGCGCACCCTAAAATGTGATTTCCCTTTCTCTTATCATTCAATGGTGAGCATGACTTACGAGACTTATGACATTCATCCATGAATTAAGCATTAACTGAAACCAATTGAATGAGATGTTGGGGAGTAATTTTACTATGAAGTCCAGGTTTTTCTGAAGTATTACTACTTTGAAATATCCTGCTTACTATGAAATCTTCCGTCCTCTAAATTCCTATTTTCAGATTACAATAGATACTCTATACTTTCCAATCTCTCATGAGCATATTTCTTAGAACCATATTATATAACAACTAAATGTTCAGGCCTCTCAAATATGCTTAAATTCAGTATACCAGATATATCAAACTATTTAGAAAAAAAGACCATGGGAGTGCAGTTTTCACAGTTACCTGCAATTCTGTATTGTACTCTAATATTAATGAGCACAAATCACTTTGAACTCCTGTAGCAGTTCCTCATTATTGAGAAAATATTGTGGTATTTTCTTATCTAGAAGGGAATTTTGAGGCAATTTCTAGAGATTTCTTTTATCTTATTACACTTTACTAGGATACAATTGGATGCAAAGACTTTCCTACTAGCATGAACCTTGCTTGGAGCTACATTCCTGCATTTCCAAAGAAGTCCAGAGTATTACATTTTGAAGGCTTTCCTACCTTCAGATTTCCTACCTCTTTCATAAACTGTCAGGTTAGGATAATAATAATCACTACTATTAATTACCTAGGTAATTACTTAACTACTATTAATTACCTATGTAATTACTTAAGTAATTATTAATTACCTAAGTGCTAAATACACTATCTTACTTACATATCACAACATACCTCCAAAGTAGATGTGATAATAATAATTTTATATATAAAGAAAGCCAATAATTTGTTCAAAATTTTTGGACCCAGGTATATTTCATTCCAAAGCTTGCTCTTCATGATGTGTGTGTGTGCATGGATGTATGTGTGTGTGTGTGCATGCGTGGGTATGTGTGTGTGTGTGTGTGTGTGTGTGTGTGTGTGTGTAAGACAGAGAGAAAGAAAAGAAGAAGAGAGAAAGATTAAAAAATGCTACCAAGTTTTTGGAAGTTTTTAAAATTCATCCATCCTCTTTAGTTGGGCAGTGGAAATAAATGAATATAATAAAAATGGTGCACATATATTACTAGCATAATGATAAACTTATTTAACAGCCAGAAAATTTTAGAACATTAAGATATACAGGATTAAACAATCTAACTTCACTGTTCTTGTCTCTAATTTTAAGGCATGAACTTTTAGGTATCATAAACACTGTGATCAGGCATATATGAAAACATCACGAGTTTGTTACCCATAAAGTGTGATAAGGTCTTTGACCATCTCACAACATGAGTCATGGTAGTTTGCTGTTACCTAAGCAACAGATGACATTTTGATTGCCTTATTAGGTAATACTGGTTAACAGATGATCATTTTAAAAGGTAACAATATCTGAGACTGCTGGTAATGTATAAATTTCAGTATTTGTCAACAAATTACACTGGCTATTAAAAGGTACAGAATACTAACTTTTAAAACTAGAATAAACATTTCTGCATGGAATCAGTAATGATGATATAAAATGAATTTTGTAATTGACTTTCAGATTTTTTTTTTTTTTTTTTTGAGACGGAGTTTTGGCTCTTGTTACCCAGGCTGGAGTGCAATGGCGCAATCTCGGCTCACCGCAACCTCCGCCTCCTGGGTTCAGGCAATTCTCCTGCCTCAGCCTCCTGAGTAGCTGGGATAACAGGCACGTGCCACCATGCCCAGCTAATTTTTTGTATTTTTAGTAGAGACGGGGTTTCACCATGTTGACCAGGATGGTCTCGATCTCTCGACCTTGTGATCCACCCGCCTCGGCCTCCCAAAGTGCTGGGATTACAGGCTTGAGCCACCGCGCCCAGCCCGACTTTCAGATTTTTGCACTAATTCAATACTGGATTTCAGAAGAAAACTTAAATTATCTATAAAATTTTCTAAGTGCTGCTGTATTTCCTTTGTATTCTGCCTCTCCTCTTGTTCCCCTTTCCCTTTGCTTGTTCTTCTTCATTTTAAACTTAAATGCATCTCTGCAAATATAACCTTATTTTAAATTAAATATTTAAATATTATTAAAGAAATACACATAAAGAATGTGATTAAACATCGGTAAGTGTAGTATCCTCAGACTCCTGCACTGATCCCTGTCCCAATTCATACACAAGAATGAGATGCTAGAAAGGTGACAGGA